ATGTGTATATGGTACGTTACAGAGATACAAATTCAGATATTCGCCTGACCTTAACTTGTATAACTCAAAGGATATAATTAGGATGTAATTCAAGTTAAAAATTTAACTCTTAAAAAATTCAGTTTAGGGTAGTTCTTCAAATTTTACAACCTCCATGGGTATTGATCTATGACTATACAAGTTTCATAACATATGTTCGCACAAAAAATTACATGTATATCCCCATGAAACTGGAAGTTTTAAGCTGTCCATGAAAATTGAGAATCCACATCTGATTTACATCACTTCTTGAATATGCTGTAGTACAGTGTGTCTGAAGTTTCTCCTTCACAATTGCTAATATTTTCGTGAGGAGTAAGGGTAGGGGCTTTGTAAAGCATTTACTGGACCCTGCAATATATCTTTGTTTGTAAGGAGCTTTATGAAGCCTGGAATCCAGTGTAGGTGTGGTAAATTAAATTCACTTTCATTAAATAAAATGTTAAAAGTATTTTTAAAAAAAAAATTAAAATGATCCAAGGTCAGGGGCACAGGATACTAAAATTCTACATTATTGTACTAGCCTCAACTTTAAAGAAACTGATTCTTGAGACAAAGGTTGCTTGTGAATATATGCATGTCAGATCCTAATACAGGGCAATATGGAGATAGTTAAGGCCAGATTTTAGATGTGCAAAATTCTTGCCTTGGTAATAACTTTGGAGATATTTTAGATGATACTAGGCACAAACGTTGCTTGTGATTAAAAGTTCAGTCAATATTCTTTGACATGATTGTTTGTGTAAGGTCAAGGTCACATGATTCAGAAGTCTTAAAAATTTTCTATGGGCCTTCAATTTTGAATGCCATAACTTTTGATATGGTCATATTTTAATACTCATCACAAAACTTGCTCACAACCAGAGATGTCTGAGCTAAAAAATAAAAATACGAGATTAAGTGTAGATAAACATGATATATATTATTTACGTTCAAATTAAAATTTTCACCGATTTTGAACATGAATAACTCATGTTTCCATAGTGAAAATGCTTTTAAACTGTGTCTGTTAATTAAATCCGGAGTCGGTAAATAAATCGGTTATTGTTTTAAATTTCTAATATCTTTAAAACGTGATAGATTTAAATTGTGTAATCTACAGGAAAGTCCTACATGTATCTTTATATAAAGAAATAAAAGAAATAGAAAGATCTTTTTAATTTTAGTTAGTCTGAACTTATAAAAAATACGCTATATATGACTTTAATCAATTATGTCTCAGAAATACTCAAGCTTTTGATTTTTGGTTCAAGATGACATGTCTGTTTTCAACTTTCAAGTAGTCATTTTCTTTAGTTTTTATCCTGTTCAGGCAGCTCTAATTTAAACCGGACTACTTCTTACTCTCAGAACATTCGTCTATTACTGTGTATATATGAACTCTTGCTACATCCAAACATTTATGAGTCTATTTGTTGCTTTGTTTCACAATGTTCCTCCATCACAAGTTTCACTTGGAGATAAATTGCTAAGAAATGGACAAATATTGATGCCCACAACCAAAAGAGAAATTAATTTTTATCCCATGGTCTGTGAAAGGAAGATCCAAGGTCATAAGAACAAAATGGGTATCTATAGGAAACATTATTTTCTTGAGATTATAAAAACCAAAGGGACTTGTATATATACAGGTACGTGAAGGTGATTACTAGACTGTAGAAATATTGATCAATATATCTTTATTCTCAGGTGAACATCAAGACCCAAAGGCCTCTTGTTTTCGATATAATTTATAGATCTGGAAGACTTAACTATGTGCTCAGTAGAAAATAAAAAATAGAAGTACATGACAAGTGAAATGTATACATTTCAAACCATCTTTTATTTTTTTTCCTTATCCTCATTAGAAACAGTCTAAAGATCATCCAGAAGAAAATGTTAATTGCGCCCCCCCCCCCCGATATAATTTGCTCTTTGGGGGCGTGTTAATCCATTTTATAGCTTATGCAAATAATCGGACAAAGGTTGGTTGATAAAGAGTGAAGTTTTATTTAATTTAGAGGATATAAGCTAAACTTCACGCCTTATAAATTCAGCCCATGAAGAGTTCCAAAATAGTACCACTCAGATTTCAATACAAAAAATAACTAGTAATGAGCAAGAAGATCTCTATTAATATTGTGCCATACTGTTTACTAGTTATTTATAACATTCTAAATATGCATTAATCCTCAAACTGTTTGAATTGTTAAACTTATCAATAAATGGGACCAAGGAGGCAACTTTTTTTTTATTATTATTTATTTTTTCATAAGCAATGTATTCTTTACCAATTTGTGATATGATGCATTTAAACCACAGGATGGGGCTTATTCGTTATTATATCCTTCACAACTGAAGCATTCTAGGGTATATTATAGCATATCTCTTTCTCTGTCCATCTGTCTGCAGACTATTATATCTAAAGATTTTCACTGAAACTAGTTGATATATTTTTTTCCAGTTTCGTAGAATTCAAACATGAATTGAACAGATACACTAGGTATTTATGATTGATGTCAAAATTTTACTTTTTATGCCCCCGTAATTGAAGATTCGGGGGCATATAAAATTTGCCCTGTCCGTCTGTCTGTTTGTCCATAACTTTTGATTGGTTGGAGCTATGGCTTTCATATTTCACATGTGTATTCCTTGTGACAAGACCTTTCTTTGGGTACCATCATGTTGTGTTGTGTATAAGCGCAATATGACCTGTTGTGTATAATTGTGTTAGCATGATGGCGTGTTGTGTGTTAGCGCGATGGCGTGTTTTTTCTGAACTATTTTTAGTAACCATGGCAACACCGCTCATCCAAATCAAAAACCGATGCACTAAATTATGTATCTTAGTGTAGTCTAATTGTGTGCCAAGTTATATTGAAATCAGACCAAAACTGTAGGAGGAGTAGCATTTTGAAAAATTGTTTACAGACAGACGGACAGAGAGACAGACAGACGGACAGACGGACGCCGGACACCTTACTATCGCATAAGCTCTTCTGGTCTCTGACCAGTAGAGCTAAAAATAGATGTGCATGACAAGTGAAATGTATACTACTGTTATTTTCTATTTAAGTAACCCAATTACATGAAGATTGAAGATCAGCAAAATGTCACCATGAGGAAATTATTATTGCAACTGTAAGGAAATTTATTACTAGTATTACAACCTTGAAGTTTGGGCCATTTTTCTCTCTCTCTCATATAAACTTATGCAGTAATAGCTTGGTCAAGATTTGCTTTAAGTAAATAATGTTACAAAAATAAAAAGAGAGACTGAGAGAGAGAATATCTAGTCAATAATAATTCAAGGTTATACTTTTATAATGTCAAAAAGCATTGCTAACATTTAAAGGACACAGTATGTTAAATTTGACTCCTTATTTGAACTGAAAAATGAGATTACATGTACTTAATCTAAGTTGACATCTGGTTCAAAACCATTAATAGATTTGATTTAACACAGACAAAAAGATCACAAAAAGGTGAAACTTGGATCAATTTTATCAACTGGAACTTTTCATATTTTGAACTTTTTCCATCATTTTGCTTTAGAAAACACAGAACACTCAGAGGAAATGTGTCTGGTTCTTGTGAATCTTGCAGATGGGCAAGAACATGCTCTTTATTTTCTGGAACAAGCTCAGCTCTAAATTTCTAAAAATCTGTTTTAAAAAAAATGGGATGTTGATCAAGTTTGTGACCTTCTGTGACCTTTTTACTTGCTGTCATGTTTAAAAAATAAATTCTACTTTTTGAAGCAAGAGTCATTATGAATATTTGAGTTTATCATAAATGTCATCCAAAAGGATTGGGGGGGGGGGGGGGGTAGTCCTGGTTTGTCTTAATTTATATAACTCAAAGAATAAGATTAGGAGTTGTATAAGTTAAAGAATCCAGTCCATTAAAAGTTCAAAAATATCATCACTTAGGTAAGTAACTAGAAATGTTTATAGACACTTCTATGCTTCATTTGGCATACATGTAATGATTGTCACAAACAACAAGCAGGTGCAAAACAGATCTTATAAAAATTTATGAAAGCCCTGTCTGTATACCAGGGAATGTTCATTAGAAGAGAACTTTAAATCAATAAATGTACTGCATTAATGGCTTATTCAACATTTTCTTTAATGAATAACTTTACACAAGTACATAAGGAATCACAATTTTGATATTTTTAACACTTTGGTCCTTGGCACTCAGATTCTAGATTCACTACATGTACACTTTGGTCCTTGGCACTCAGTTTCTAGATTCACTGCTCAGAAGAGGTGTGGTTTCCTCCTCCTCCTTCGCCTTGATATCAATGGTAACTCGGGGAACGGTTCTGTTAACATTACTGAACCAGATTCCATAGGCAAAGTATATAGTTAATCCTGAAAATTGACAATGATTTTGATATGGATGTTGCTGTTTAATTACACATTTATCTCAAAATGTTAATCAAAACATGGAACATTTGCTAATATAAATATTAAAAATATCAGTTTGCTTTCTGAATGGTGCATTTGGTCCAAAGTGATGCATGATCATGATTTTATGAATGATTTGGTATTGAAATGTAATGTCATTTATTTTTATTCCATAGGATATGATCATCACTGTCACTAAAGTGATCATCGTTAAAATCATCATCACTCTCCTCGAGGGTGGATCTAGAAGTTAGGGGTATGTGTTCATCGTGTTGAGATTCTACACTGTGATGGAGACTGTATGAGAAATAAATTAAAAAGCCTGGAAGGAAAAGGATAGGTCAAAGGTCAAAGTGCATAAAGCAGAGGTTAAAAGTGCAAGATATAACATCTGATTATTTGCAGCTTTTTAAAGTGAGACGTAAAATATAAATTCTTACTTCTGCATAGTAAAGCAATGCTGTACACTTTTGATTTTGATGACATATTTTAGCAAAATTACTAGAAGTAGAGATTTAAAATGTATACACTGATGTTGAACTGAATAAATATATAAAATTAACTTACCAACTAGCATCCACACTCCAAACCTGATCCATGTAGCAGTGGACAGCTTCAACATCAGGTAAACATTAACAAAAATACTAATCACAGGAAGAAATGGTAAAAGAGGTACCTATAAACAAAAAATCATAGTGCATTTACAAAATCCTCTTGAACAGACATTATAATTTAAAAACTTCTTTCATTTTTTTCTCTCCCCCTTTTTTTAATAGAAGTAAAGAATAAAGCCAACACAACAATGCAATCATTGACAGTACATGACATGTACTTGTTGTAAAGTTACTTCAATTTTAATAATTTTGCAGGAAAATTAGAATGGTTAATATTCTTTTCTACATTTTTTAAAATTTTACCTTAAAGCTGATTAAATCCTGATTTTGAGGTTGGAGCCATGTTGAATACACAAGGATAAATATGAGAAGACAAATAACACTAGCTATAGTAATAGACCACCATTCCCCGGAAGATATAGAATCTTCTAGAAAGATGAGTATCAGTGACTCCGCAATGATCAGTATACCTTAAAAGGCATAAATAAATAAAAAATACTTTACATAAAAATAATATATTTTAAAAAATGAATAAACTGCACTTCAAAGTTTTCTTCTTTTTTTTTTTTAAATTGGAAGACCTCAAATTGTAAGTTACCAGTAGTATTTTTTTTTAAATCTTCATCTAAATTATAGAAATAAAAAGCAAATGCACTCTTAATCTGTGCAGCCCTATACTCCTCATGGATTAAACAAGAATAAGTCAAGCAAGTCAAGTCTACAAACCTGAGTAATACTTACATATAAAAGTGATATTCCAGAATGATACAGTTTCCGTTAGGTGAGTTGGGGATTTCAGTCTATGGTTGAACATTTCCTGGAAATATCCCACTGGATTCACTTCATCATTAACAAGTAATGAATCTCTGTAACAGAAAGTACAGTCCATGTACTAAGATCTGCAGTTATTGGTTCCCTTACTGTTAAAACCTGGGAATTATAGGGGTTTTTTTTCTTGGTCTGTCTATCTGTCCATTTGTCTATAACTTTAACATTCCTGAATTTGAAAACAGGTGGTCAATATATCAGGTATGTATGCATTGTTAAGATTCACTGGGGAAGGTAAGGGACATGTTTTGCTTTGACAATGCTCTCAGAATGCTTATTGTAGTTAATAAAAGTTATTATTTAGTGTTAGAATGTCAAACTAAGTTAATTTACCTGTCTCCTGAATCACGAGGGTCAAAGGAATACACCTTGTATCTACAAAAGGAGAATATTTAATAATCAAAAGTATGGGATCTGAAATGAAAAAATTTAAAGCCATGAAGAAAGAATTGGAGTGTGCTAAAAAGATTATCATCGACCATATATTTTAAAGATAAACTGAAGACTGAAATTAATACCTTAACAGTAAGACACTAACAGCAACAAGTGTGTATGCTAGCAAGGTTCCAATGGACATCATGTCAACCAGTTCTTTAAGGTCAAACATCATTGCCATGACTCCTTCAAATTAAGAAATATCATATTAAGAAGAAATCTACTTTTTGTTTTTTTACTAATCTTTATCTAAATAATCTTATTATAAACAATCGTCTGTGCTAAATAAAAATTTCTAAATATAAATTCGGATAATTTACAATCACCTGCAAACAGCCCTGAGAGGAGAGTGCCAGCTACAGGTGTTTTGAACCTTTCACTAATGTCCCCAAGAAACTGAAAAAGCAGTCCATCACTGGCCATGGCATAGATAACACGAGGTAATGGAAACATAGCACCAAGTAGACTGAAAAGATTTTTTCAAATATGAGGAAAATCTATCCATCAAAGAAAAGTTCTAATTTCTCTCCCTCTCTCTCCAAAAAAGTGTTACAAAGACTTGAATCCCACAGTTGATTCTTACCTTGTGGACAGACCACATACAGCTCCCACCGCTATAATATATCGAGCTACATTCCAGCCCACTTTGGAGAAGACTTCTGGAAGTGGGGCATCATGGTCTAGGAGGTAGTAAGGACACATTAGGGTAATAGCTGCTGATACCCCAAAGTATGCCAGGAAACAGCCTAGCAGAGCCAAAACTATACTGATGGGAATAGCTCTCTGGGGATTCTCGACTTCCTCTCCTAAATAATGTAACCATGCTTTAATGTAGGAATATTCAAATAAATAATATTCTGTATAATATTCACAAACTGAAATTTACATGCATTTTGGTTTGCATAAAGAAATGAATCAAAATTTGTATTTTGACTGAGTTGCTCATTGGAATAAAGTTGTCAGCTGACATTTACAGTATAGAATGATAAAGTCATGAAGTAGAAAAGTGGAATCTTTTTTTAAGTTATATATCTGAGGAATTGCTGGACTGAACATGTATGGATAAATGAAATTACATAATGTAAAAAAGGTTAAAACGTCATTGGACAAATCTGTTACATAATTAACAACTCAATATTTTAATTTAATGTCATCAAATTTTTTAAAAATGCCATTCTTCAAAAATAACTTCAAGCTGCATTAATGCCATAAAAAATTAAATGTGAATCCAAGACATAAAGGGAAACCTGGGTTCTGTTATTGTTATAGACCTGATAATATAATAATTTATGTTGAAGATAAATAAATTATGAAATCAAGAAATCTTTACTGTATTACCTTTTTCACAAAATAAGAAAATTGACATTTCAGCAAATGATAATCATTCTTAATGGTACACATTTCTAAGCCATTATCAATTAAAAGTATATTTGTACATGAACCTGCTGAACTCACATACCTGTTGTAGCGATGCAATCAAATCCTACAAAGGCATAAAAACAAGTGGCAGCTCCAGACATCATTCCTGAGAAACCGAATGGAAAAAATCCACCATCTCCATAATTAACAGTGGAGTTGGTATGCTTTTAAAGAAGAATTGGAGTTGTACTAAATTTACATTGAGTAAAAGTTATCTAAACTGAACGAAATTCAAAAAATAAAAACTATTTGTTCTTAAATTAAAAGGGAGAAATACAAATATAAGTTGTGGTTAATTTGTAAGTGTTTCTTTCATGTATCATAAAGTTGCTCATAAATTTTAAACTTTCAAAAAATGATAGAATTAATTTAAGTATGTAATACAACATGTATTTTAAAGTCTACTTATAGGATTTTTCTCCTTATATTTTAAAATACCTACCTCTGGCCTAGGTAGAGACCAGTTATGGATGTCTGCCTTAATTAGGCCACAGATAACAACATATAACACAACTAGAAGATTGACACCAGTGAAGATATTGTTAAATCGGGAAGATTCTTTTACTCCCAGTGTTAACAAACCTGAAATTATTATGCAACATGCATTTTACTGAAATTCAGACAAGTGTTTCAAGTACCATAATCCTATTTTCAAGCACGTAACTGCTAAAATAAGAATTTGAGCTGCATTTTCTTATTTGTATTAATATTGAACAAGAATGACTGTTTCATGCTAATATCCAATTGAAATAAAGGTAAAATAAGATTGATCTGTGAATTGAATGTCCTATGTATGTGTGAATACTGAAAATTGCAGCTTTGATTCTTATCATTGTATTTTTCTAATTATTTTAACAAGCCAAGGATTTTTGTTTCACTACTCTCCCCTTAGTAAATCGAACACACTTGGCTTCTGAAGATGATTTTATATAAGAATCAAATAACTAGCAGTTCTTTTAACATACAGGTAAGCAAGAGGGTGATGCCAAAGGCAAAGAAGTCTGGGTATGGAGAAAGTCCCCCAACATCTATAGGCATATTGTCCCTGAAGAAGTTCTGGATAGCCTTGTGGATTAGAGAGTCAAAGTAGGCACTCCAGGCCCTAGCTACACTGGCTGTCCCTGGTAAACAGTTAGAAATTATAATAAAAATCTGCAGATGATTTAAAAACCTGTACATGGCTTTGATATTGCTTTAAAAAAAATCAAACAATAGAGTTTAAGCAAAATTGTAAACTCTGTGAAATTGTTATGTTTGTAAGGGACTGGAGGGACTTACCTATAACATATTCTAGTATCAGATTCCATCCAATGATGAATGCCATAAACTCTCCCACAGTTATATAACTGTACACATAAGCTGAACCAGTTTTGGGAACCCTGGCTCCAAACTCAGCATAGCATAAACCTAGAAGTCAAATACACCATGGGGACAATAAATTAGACTTTTAGAAGAAAAGAGAAGAACTTTCACAGAATTGCAATGTATGTCGAAAATATTCAAGGAATGTGCGTCATTGACCTCAGGTTTGACTTTTAATGCTACAACTAACGTAAATGCTAAACTAAGTAAAATTCCTAAATTGACTTAACCTGCATAAAAGTTGCATCTCAGGATGCAAATGAATACTATTCTCTAGATGCTGGGATGTGACCTTTATTTTAAAGGTGACTAACCTTGATAACATTTTCTGAAAGAGGTCATTTTTAAAGTAATTCTGAGTCCTACAATAATCAAACTGCTGTTGATATTGAATCAGGGGGTATATGTGGCCATTCAGGTTATGGATATTGCAAGTGACCAACATTGTACCAATGATAGATGTCAAATTAAGCTTTAGAAGTACGTACCTTTTTATTTTTCAGTACTTATTATTCAAGTAATGACACATCATATTTTCCATTGCAAATTTGAATCTGCACTACATATTGATAACACTATTTCAATGGCCAAGAGATGTACTTAAAAGATCCAAAATTTCTAAAATAATCTCACCCTAGAATCAAACATTAAATTCAAAGTACATGTACCGGGTAATATAGAACAGTCATTTCTGACAGTAGTCTTTAATTAACTTTGTGACTTATTACCAGTACTGTAAGTAGAACAGATTTATTACTTTAATAATTCTATATTTCTCCATTTCATCCATAATTAATTACATAAACCAGTAAGTTTCAGAGATTTAAATCAGATTAGACTGTCTAATTACTGCTGGTTTCTGACATTGTGTAATACCTGCTAACACTGAGGCTAAAGCTGCAATGAGGAAGGACAGAATCACCGCTGGACCGGCTGTCTCCTTGGCTACCTGGCCGGCCACTACATAAATACCTGCTCCCAGAGTACTGCCAATACCTAGAATTAAATGGTTAAAGATATTTCTAGAGTAAAAAAAAAAATATCTCAAGCACATAAAAAGCTTTTAAGCTTTTTCAGTTTGGGGGAAACGCTATACCAAAATTTATATCTTAAACATTCATATACATCTTCAGGTATTTCTGTTCAGTAAAAAGAATATAAAGCACCAAGAAAGCTTTTTTAGCTTGGTGAAAGGTACTGTACCAAAATGTTTTATCAAACATTTAAAGACACTACTGATCTCAGCATGCAACATTTGGTTGGAAAATATGGGGAGAGGAAGAGATTCCCCTTAAGTCCCCCCTCTCATTCCAGTTCCTGAAACAACTGTGTGTACCAAATGTTTCATAACATTCTCAGACTGGCTGTAGGATATTCTTACAAAAATTACAAATTATCCATAATAACAATTGCAATTCATCATTTCAATGACCCTTTCAGTTAATTGTCATGGCATTTCAGAGACTGGGTGATATACGAATGTGTGTAGCTATAACCAGTGTTTTCACAGGTATACTGTATAGAGAATTATTTCGACAAGTTGTATAATTTTCACTTTTTCTCTTTTCTGACATAGTCACAGTTTGGTGAATTCAAGGAAATAATTTGTATAAAATAAAGAAACCTCATAACCTTGTATAGCAAGAATGACAACTGCATATTTAATTTTTCACTCACGATAACCAGGTGTCCATCAGCGAGATGTATTCACTACATTATTTATATATACCCAGGGGGATTAAATTAAGTATTCCATACATCTGGCAAATCATTGTCTGAAATGTTTTAATTTGCTGAAGCATGGAAAAACCCTCCATTGGATTTACATACCCCTGACCTGAGGCAATGTTAAAAAAAGAAAAAAGAAAAAACTTGTGCAATGAAAAAAACTGTAAACGAAATTTTACATTTTGCTGTTTAAGTATAAGAGCAAGGACTCATATTTATTAAACAGTAATATATGTCCATAGTACATGAATGCTCCATCCAGAGTTCATTAGTAATGAAGCACTAAAATTTGTATTAGTGCATGAAGTCTGATGAAACTATATTGAATAGCTTCTTTAAAAATTAATTTTAGACCAATAAATATGTCACCGGGTTCACAGGTGCGTGATAGTCAGTCAATATATCGGGTCTCAGTAGCTCAGTGGTTAGAGCGCTGGCACGGTACGCCAGAGGCCCTGGGTTCGAGTCCCGGTTGAGACTTGATTTTATCACCACCTGTGACATTTGGCGCCCAACGTGGGGCTACCCTCTATTCCCTAGGAACATGCCTTACAGCATTTCCTTAACTCCTAGAATTCGAGGACGAATTTCTACAAAGAGGGGGAATATGTCACCGGGTTCACAGGTGCGTGATAGTCAGTCAATATATCGGGTCTCAGTAGCTCAGTGGTTAGAGCGCTGGCACGGTACGCCAGAGGCCCTGGGTTCGAGTCCCGGTTGAGACTTGATTTTATCACCACCTGTGACAAATAGTAAAGTCAAAGGTCATTGGGAAGGTCAAGGAAAAAAAATTGGAAACAGCTGAAAAATTCTCACCAAATTAGGTATCAGTGCATAAGCTTACTTAAAAATATCTTGAATAGTTTCTTTTAAACTAAGCTAATGGCAAACTTAAGAAAAGTGAGGTCAAGGTCAAAGGAAAGGTCAAGGTAAAATAATTGATGCAGGTCAATAGTACTCACCAATATGTATAACCATTTGAACTTTGATTTAAAAAAATCTTGATTTGTTTCTTTCAAACTGAGATAAACACAAAATTGAGGTCAAGGTTTAAAGAAAGGTCAAGGTCAGAAATGTTGATGCAATTGAATACATCTCATCAATATGTATAAGCATATGAAATCTGATAAAAAATATCTTAAATAGTTCCTTTGACACTTAGCAAAACACAAATTTTTGAAAAGCAAGATCAATGTCATAGGAAAGGTCAAGGTCAAAAAATGTTAATGAAGCTGAATAGCTCTCACCAATATGTATCAGCATATAAAGTTTGATAAAAATATTTTGAATAGTATTTTTTGAAACTGAGCTAAACGCAGGGTATGACAGAAGGACAGATGACGGACATGATTAGATAGAATGTTCTACTGTTAAATATTGTCCTACTGACCTTGTGAGGGCTTGTCCCAAGACACAGTTAGATTATTCTAACTAAGACATGATGAACACTGCAAGTACTTATAAAAATGGTAATTTTTATTGCAAACTTATTCACTATTTCTTGAATTCACATATTTATTAACACATGAATATAGTGAATATGTACACTGAGAGTTATGGTCCTCTATACAGACAAACAGTGATCAGCAAGGCTAATTTTAGCTTTTGACTAAAGTGACCTTGAAGTACATAGGACTATGGAGTGCCCAAAATTACAAAGCAAAGGTTACCAAACATCACCTTAATGGATATACCATGAATCTAAAAGTGAAGCAGTCTCACTCCAAATAAATGTTCTGGTAATGTGAATCCATAGATGAATCACCAATGCAAGTTTGTTCTGGCTAGGATTTAAAATTTCTTGGGAATGGACCTGCTCCAAACACTTAAACTATTCAATTATTTGCAAAATGCACCTCAGATCCTGCATCTGAAGCAAATCTGGTAGTGTGCAGCCCTTGATGCATCATCCATGCAAGTTTAGTCACCATAAGGCTTATAGATATTTGGGAATGGACTAGCTCCTAAAAACTTTAACCAGGTCACTCATCTGGTAAACATAGGTCAGATCTATCCAGCATCTGAAGCATATCTGGTAGTGTTCATTTCTAGATGCATCATCCTGGCAACTTTGGTCCAAGTTGAGATTATAGTAACTTAGGAATGGGTATGTTCCAAAAACTTTAACCAAGTCACTTTTCCAGAAAATGTAGGTCAAAACCAGCATCTGAAACAAGCTCAATTGTGTCCATCCCTAGACATTCTCTATCCAGAGTTGTCGTTCCCGCTACGCTCCCACATACACCTCTGTCAACGCTTGTTATACTAGATTCTTGGAAAAATTGTAAATGATTAAAAGTTGTATTAATAATTGTTTTTAGTAATATTTCTTATCAGAAAACATTATTTATTTTAATTTATTACACGTTAAAAGGATTTTTTAATTAAGATTTAAATTTTTACTCCGCAAAATAGTTCCCTAAAAACTTTGAAAATGAGTCACTTTGAGGGATTATAGACTTAAAATAAATGATGAATTATCATCTTTATCGATAATTACAATAATTAATTACTATTTAAATTTCAAATTTTCACCGTTTAAAATTTGTACAAGAGTCTTGTACAACAAGTGTTGACAGAGGTGTGAGCTAGTGGAAGACAACTCTGGATAGAGAATGCATCCCTACTAGGAGATACACCATCCATGCAAGTTAGGTAACTATAGAACTTAAAGTTATTTGGGAAGGGACAAGCTCCCAAAATTTCAACCTGGTCACTCATTTGAAAAACAAAGGTTAGATACAGCATATGAATTATGTCTGATCTAGAGCTACATCATTAATGCAATTTTTGGTCTAGGTACAGCTGATAGTTATTTGGAAATGAGACCTGCTCTTAAAACTTTAACCAGGATGCTGATGCTTATATCAATGCTGGGGGAATAGTATAAACTTACTTTCGCTTGGTTGAGGTGAGCGAAACATGAAAAGTGACTCCCTGTGTGTTTTACAAATTAATTTGTCTTTTTTCAGCTCAGTCTGGGAACATGTTTTTTTTCTGTTAAGGTAATACTTCATTGCAAACACAAGTACTGATACATACCAAGAGCTGTGAGATCTAGAGTAGTCAAACATCTTGATAATTTGGTCTCTGTGATGTTAGCAGGGTCTATAAACTTCTTTCGAACAAGCTTGCGATAAAAACTTGTCATGTCTTCAGAAATCCTAAGCTTTTCACATCAAGAACCATTTGTCTATGATTAAAAAAAAACTGATAAATTTTAATTTCTCTTTACTTATAAATTAATTACTATGGTCATAATCAAACAAATTAATGGAAAGAAATCTTGGGATCAAACATCTTGACACTATGTTCAGAGCAAGAAATATGGTTATTAATCTCACTTAAAAAAAAATCAATTATGCATAGTGGATAATGAAAAACACAATTTTCGCAAGAAACATAAAATGGGAAATAACTGGTCCTTCTATCCATTTACTTTTTTGTCCCAATATAAAATGGTATCCACTGTCATTAAAATGAACAAAGAACTCGAAATAACACTACCAGAATTGATTGACGGTTCATCATAAAGCAACTATATATAGGGGAGCTTTCAAAATGTAGGCAGGTATAAACTTTTCAAAAAGGAAAGATCATAATGCTTTATTTTACATTTATAGAGAATTAGACTAAGATTAAAATATCAACTAGCAAAGAATTTTTGGGGCAAAAATTTTACTGAAAAAATCTGTAAACTTGTTCATATAAATTAAAAATATACCGGTACATAAACCAACAAGAAACATTGCTAAGAATTTGAATGACTGAAAGTTGTAGACATATAATCAAACTTTTCAAGAGCCATTAGAATCAAATTTGAAAGAATATTTATTGTGTACCTTGATGGTTCTATGAAAAAAAAATATTGTAAATGTTTAGGTGAAAAATAAAACTAAAGATTAAACAATATGAAATTATGAGTTTAATTTCACTTATATACATCACAACTTAGCTATCAGTTAAATGTAATAGCTTCATGCAACCCATTCCAGTAATCAATAAACTAATAAAGTAAGCTCATATTACCTCTTAGGCTTAAGAAATGCACTCAGATTTATCAAGGCATGTAGTACCTCCTCTTATTTTATTTATGTAATGTGATAAATACTACACAATTTCTTATATGGAAAGATACTAATGTCTTGTGATCAAAACATATTCTAATCCACAGTTTATACATGTACACTGTTATAGGTAATATATATCATGATCATTCACTGATCACATTATTTTCATTTGGTTTATCAATACTGGGTGCAAACTTTAGAACATTGACACAATTATATTTATGTGCAATAATTAAATGGATACATGATGTAAGATATGGCATATATCCACAACATGTAAATGATTTCATATGATGTACTTCAAACCCAAATACAGTACATTAGATCTTTAATGTAATTTAAATTAATATTGTACATAGATCATTAAATTTTCTATACACAGAGTACTCCTTTTTACATATCAATAGGTATACATATTTATAAACCAAGACCCAAGTACTTGTGGTTCTTAATCTCGGTGGAGATTCGGCTGGGCTAGATATTTGGTCTGACGTCAGACCAAATATCTAGCCCAGCCGAATCTCCACCGAGATTATTGTGGTTCTATACCCCTATCTCCATTAGATTATTTTTTATGCTCTCTCTCTCTCTCTCTCGATGTTGTACAATATTCATCATCTAAATGTTCAACAATTAAGTAATGCAACTCACAAATATTCAATCAATTAATATAACTCTAATTTAAATGTATGTTGTGTTATTTACCTTATAAATATTATCTTATTCATACTACTTGAAAGATTATCTTTTTACGTGTTTTTTTTGTCTGCCATTATTGACACGTGAAGTCACATGATAATCACATGTTCTTTAGTACATTCCGGTAGGTATGCGTTTCGCCCCGTTTCTGTTTCGCTCTCAGATGATTTGCACCTCAGTTCTGTTTTTATCTAGAAAATATTATGTTGTCTTTTCTTTATGTGTAACTAATTATAAATATGATGATACTTATTATATTTTTTATAAATTTTATAGACGTACATTACATACTAGTAAAACAAAGATTGATAAAATATAATTAATTGTTTCAGGGACCTATATACTATATAGGTCCCTGATTGTTTCAAAACGTTTTCAATACCCCCCCCCCCCCTTCTCCTAATATATTTTTAAAGAGTCGTATTTTCGAGTTTAAGCAATCTTCCTTTTTTCTTTTTGTTTGTCTAAGTTTTTTTTCAGACTGCCCCCTCCCCCTTTTTTTCAAAAACTATACTAATTACGACCCTGTCGATAACACTTCTGCTGCACTTTTTTTGTATAAGTGTAATCTGTGAACATACTCTAATGAAATTAATGTAATTAATGATAAATAAGGTCAGTAAAGAATTCCATTGGAGTGAAACTTCTTTGAAAATTAAAAATAACCACTTGAATAAACTTAGAACTATAAACAATCTTGTGTTTATTGTTAGAAATGAGAACTGAAAACGTCGACCAAAATTCAAGGTTTGCAAAACTCTTTATAAATGTTCAATGGTTTATATGAAAATTACAGATGTTGAGTTATTTTATTTAGCTATTTTACTTTTTAGTTCACTAAAGCTAGAGGCTTTGGGGAGATTATTTCAGCATATGTCTGTCTGTTTGTATGTTCATTTGTATTATACTAATTAAAAGTATGCATGCACGTTTATATTAAAGTTTACAAACTTTACACATATCTCATGAGCTACGGATGAATTTCATCCAAATTTCAAGCAAAGAATTACTGGTTGATGGAGATTCAACATCATTAAAATAGATGGCTTTACTCTTTTTAACCAACCCTGACCCAAGCTCTCATTCATGAATAAAGTTTTGTCCATCCCTTGTGTATCTTTTAAGTCTTCACATTTCGATTTTTCTCCAGAACCACCAGATCAATTTAAAGTTAAACCAAACATAATAAACATCAATTCAATTCAATTAATTCTCACATTGTGTAAATCAACACAGAGAATTAAATACAAAACAATATCAAGCAAAATACATGATGTATAAGAGTGTACATAACATTGACTTAGAAGGGTAACTCTCTTAATTTATTAACTATATTGATGAATTCACTAATATAAGGTTATTGTTGACGGATACCTTTTTACACGAAAATTAATTTAAAAACTTAAAATCACTTAATTGGTCATCTTAAATATATTGCTGGTAGATACAATTTTCTACAATCGTTTAAAGCTGGACGTCATGACATAATATAATGGTATTCGTCTCGAGTATCATTTTCACATAAAGTACAGATAAAAGGTATTGTCATGTACATTTTAAATTTGCCGGGTGGCAGTAAATACAAAATTTACAACATGACTATTATACGTTAATGCTACAGTGGAAGATTGTCTGCCCTTACCAAAAATTATGATTTTTGTTTTATCAACTTTTACATGTAATTTCATGTTTCACAATTTTTTTGAAAAACAATTGAGTTGATATTGAAGATCATCCTTTGTTTCAGACATCAATACAGTGTCATCCGCGCACAACATTATCATAATTCTTATATACACTTCTATCTTTTATTCATTTTCTTAGACAGGTTGTTCAGTCCAATAAAATTTTCTTGTTTTCCTTGTCATTCTATTAAAAAAATCAGAGTCATTATAAGTGCGAAAAGGAGAGGAGACAAATTTTTCCACTGACGAACTCCATCAGAACCACCAGATCAATTTAAACCAAACTTAATAAACATCTAATCACAATAATAAGCAGGCATCCCAAATGAAGAACAGTGTATTGCCGATGTAGTTGCACAGGTACTTGAGGACGGGAACCCCCCCCCCCCCTTTCATCCAATATATACACCCCAGATCCAGGGATTAAGTTTATTTGTTTGCTTCACAAATTATTTTACGTGCTCAATATGAATGTATGAAATTAATTGATTAAATAAATAACGTAGAATAAAAATTATTTTAAAATTTTTGAAAAACATTTCATTTTTTTCTGATCGGGTTCTTTGTTCAAATATTGAAACCGGAAGTTTACATGGCCCTCGAGTCGGGGAGAAGTAAGTCTGCTGACTTTGTATTTGGAGAAAATGATGATTAGTAAGCGCTTTTTAGATGTTATGCAAATCATCAAACTGCACTTATATGTATCTTTCGACTGAAATTCAATTATAGCACTGATCGTTGTATTAAGCAGTAAACAGGTCCAATACAATCACTACAGTTAGCAGGAGTTATTTACTTGAAGTAGCTTTATTTAGCCTTTTTAATGCAAGTTTTCAAAAGGTTGCTTTTTATTTAAAATAGACAAAAATCTCAAACATGTGACTACTAATATTTGAACAAGGGAGTTATAAAAAAGCAACCCGGAGCAAAGATAGTTTAAACATTGCTATTTTTGAAGGTTTTTAAGCAGAAGATGTATTTCCATTGTTTGAGTAACTGTACACCACCTTGTGTACAGTGATGCATGGACAAGTATGATTACTTCACATTGTGCCGAATTATTACCAGGTCCAGCACAATCTATTGATTTAGCGATATGGCTTGAAATAGGGACTTTTTGTAAATGCTGAAGAAATAACACATTTAAGAAAAAAGTGTGATAAAATAGCTAAGTCAATTTATTCTGAATAGCAAAATAAAGCTATATGGGTAATTCAAGCTATTTAGCTTAATCAAGAGTTTGTTCCAGATGGATTACCAGTCAATTATCATGTTAGCCAGAACTGGTTTTCTTTGTTATTTTTTCAAGAAGTAATTGTTTGGTCACAATTAAACTGCTGTATACAGCCCCATAACTTTTAGAACTTTGATTGCAATTGTCCTGATTGAGACACATCTTCAGGGGTGGTTTTTTTTTCATGAATTGTTTTCAGATCATTTCAAAGTTGAAAACTATTACTGCATTTAAGTACGATTTTTTGTACATCCTGAAAAATAATATGCTCATTAAAGAAAATAAGTATGAATTAGTAGCTAAATAAAGCTACTTCAGGTAGGTAAATAAAGCTAAATAGGTAATTCAAGCTACTTGGCTAAATGTAGTGATTGTACTGAACTGATAAACCCATTTGACAAAAACTAAATACATTTTCCACTTTAATTGTTAATAGAGTCTAAGTTTTTGATTGGGAATTGTTTGCTAACCCTGTTTTTTTTTTTTTTAAAGGAATAAGCAGTGGAACGTCATACTCCAGAAAAGCATAATGGAAGCATGTAATTGTTATCGCCAACTGGCCCTTGACAAACTAAGGCCTTTGTGTGTTAAGCTCAGCAATGATCATTCCAGAAAAAATATTAGTGCTTTAACAAAAGCTTTGGAGGAAATTGATAGTGGATACATACAGGACCTGCAAGAATATTTGCTTTACCCTTTAAGAATGATATTGAAAGAGTCCACTAAATAGTAGGTCTCTCTCTCTCTCTCTTTTTAGCTCTTCTGGGCCAAAGGCTCAAAGAGCTAATGCTATGCCCATTTGTGTGGTGTGCGTAAACTTTTTAGCTCACCTGAGCTGAAGGCTCAAGTGAGCTTTTCTGATTGAAATTTGTCCGTTGTCTGTCATCATCATCGTCGTTGTTGTTTTAAACTTTTCACATTTTCATCTTCTTCTCAAGAACCACTGGGCCAATTTCAACCAAGTTTGCCACAAAGTATCCTTGGGTGAAGGGGATTCAAGTTTGTTCAAATGAAGGGTCACACCTTCTTCCAAGGGGAGATAATCATGAATTCGTGAAAAATTAATGACATCGTTTAAAAATCTTCTTCTTAAGAACCACTGTGCTTGAAAATATGAAACTTATATGGAAGCATCCTCATGTAGTGTAGATTCAAGTTTGTTCAAATCATGACCCCTGGGGGTAGGGTGGGGCCACAATTGGCGATCAAAGTTTTACATAAGAATATACAGGAAAACTCTTTAAAAATCTTCTTCTCAAGAACAACAAAGCCATGATTGGTCATATTTATATGGAAGCATCCTCAGGTAGTGTAGATTCAAGTTTGTTCAAATCATGACCCCCGGGAGTAGGGTGGGGCCACAATGGGCGATCAAAGTTTTACATATAATACATAGGACAAATTTGTAAAAATCTTTTTTCTCACGAACAGCAAAGCCATGATTGGTCATTTTTATACGGGTGCATCCTCAGGTAGTGAAGATTCAAGTTTGTTCAAATCATGACCCCCAAGGGTAGGATGGGGGCGATCAAAGTTTTACATAGGAATACATGACCCCCAGGAGAATAGAGGGGCCATAACAGGGGATCATAGTTATACATAGGAATACAAATGATATATCAATAAAAATTGTCTTCTTAAGAACAGCATAACCATTATTTGTCATATTAATTCAAAAGCATGCCTTTGAAGTATAGATTTGAGTTCAGATCAACACCCCATCCCACCCCATCCCCACCTCAAACCACTTTTATATCAAAACTTTTCAAGACTGAATTGATTTCTGCTTTTTCCTAGCCAGAGTGCTCAGGTGAGCAACGTGGCCCCTGGGCCTCTTGTTAGAATATGGGCCATAACTCAAGAACCCCATGGCCAATTATTGTCAAATTTGTCACAGGGTATCCTTGGCCCAAGGGCTCCCGTTTATACTAAAGCTAGGGTTGTGACCCTTAAACAAGGGGAGATAATTAGGAAAATAGAAACAAAAGTACTGGTTGCTAAAAAATCTTCTTCTCAAGAACCACTGGGCAGATTATCACCAAACTTACACAAAAGGCTGAGGATATGTTGTAGATTAAATTTTGCAAAAGATTTACCCTGGGGCAAAGGACATGGTCTCAAGGTCTCTAAGGACCTCATATCATGTTGACTCAAAAGTAGGTGACAGTGACCTACTTTTTAGCTCACCTGAGCCGAAGGCTCAAGTGAGCTTTTCTGATCGAAATTTGTCCGTTGTCTGTCGTCGTTGTTGTTGTCGTTGGCGTTGTTGTCGTAAACTTTTCACATTTTCATCTTCTTCTCCAGAATTACTGGGCCAATTTCAACCAAACTTGCCACAAAGCATCCGTGGGTGAAGGGGATTCAAATTTCTTCAAATGAAGGGCCACGCCCTCTTTCAAGGGGAGATAATAGAGAATTTGTGAAAAATTCATAGCATCTTTTAAAAATCTTCTTCTCAAGAACCACAGGGCCAGGAAAGATGAAACTCATGTGGAAGCATCCTCAGGTAGTGTAGATTCAAGTTTGTTCAAATCATGACCCCAGGGGGTAGGGCGGGGCCACAATGGAGGATCAAAGTTTTACATAGAAATATATAGGAAAAACCTTTAAAAATCTTCTTCTCAAGAACAGCAAAGCCATGATGAGTCATATTTATATGGAAGCATCCTCAGGTAGTGTAGATTTAAGTTTGTTCAAATCATGACCCCCGGGGGTAGGGCGGGGCCACAATGGAGGATCAAAGTTTTACATAGCAATATATAGGAAAACCTTTAAAAATCTTCTTCTCAAGAACAGCAAAGCCATGATAAGTCATATTTATATGGAAGCATCCTCAGGTAGTGTAAATTAAAGTTTGTTCAAATCATGACCCCCGGGGGTAGGGTGGGGCCACAATGGAGGATCAAAGTTTTACATAGCAATATATAGGAAAAACCTTTAAAAATCTTCTTCTCAAGAACAGCAAAGCCATGATAAGTCATATTTATATGGAAGCATCCTCAGGTAGTGTAAATTAAAGTTTGTTCAAATCATGACCCCCGGGGGTAGGGTGGGGCCACAATGGAGGATCAAAGTTTTACATAGAAATATAGGAAAAAACTTTAAAAATCTTCTTCTCAAGAACAGCAAAGCCATGATGAGTCATATTTATATGGAAGCATCCTCAGGTAGTGTAGATTCAAATTTGTTCAAATCATGACCCCCGGGGGTAGGGTGGGGCCACAATGGAGGATCAAAGTTTTACATAGAAATATATAGGAAAAATCTTTAAAAATCTTCTTCTCAAGAACAGCAAAGCCATGATGAGTTATATTTATATGGAAGCATCCTCAGGTAGTGTAGATTCAAATTTGTTCAAATCATGACCCCCTGGCATAGGGTGGGGCCACAATGGAGGAACAAATTTTTACATAGCAATATATAGGAAAAATCTTTAAAAATCTTCTTCTCAAGAACAGCAAAGCCATGATGAGTTATATTTATATGGAAGCATCCTCAGGTAGTGTAGATTCAAATTTGTTCAAATCATGACCCCCGGGGGTTGGGTGGGGCCACAATGGAGGATCAAAGTTTTACATAGCAATATATAGGAAAAACCTTTAAAAATCTTCTTCTCAAGAACAGCAAAGCCATGAAGAGTCATATTTATATAGAAGCATCCTCAGGTAGTGTAGATTCAAATTTGTTCAAATCATGACCCCCGGGGGTAGGGTGGGGCCACAATGGAGGATCAAAGTTTTACATAGAAATATATAGGAAAAACCTTTAAAAATCTTCTTCTCAAGAACAGCAAAGCCCTGATTGATCATATTTATGTGGAAGCATCCTCAGGTAGTGTAGATTGTATTGTTCAAATGATGACCCCTGGGGGGTAGGGTGGGGCAACAATGGAGGATCAAAGTCTTAAATAGAAATATATAGGAAAATATCTTCTTCTGAAGAACTACAAAGCCATGATCATTAGTCATTTTGATAAGGAAGCATTCTCAGGTATAGTGTAAATTCAATTTTGTTCAAAAGATGACCCCCGGGGGTAGGGTGGGGCCCAATGGGGGATTGAAAATTTTACATAGGAACATACAGGAAAATATCTTCTTATCAAGAACTGAAAATCATGTTAAGTCATTTTGATATGGAAGCATCCTCAGGTAGTGTAAATTCAATTTTGTTCAAATGATGACCCCCGGGGCAGTGGTGTATCCAGGAATTTCATAAAGAGGGGGGGGGGGCAGTAGAGGCATTGGGTCTGGGGGCTGCATTGAAGCCCCCAGTGGGTCTAGAGCAAGGCCCTGGTGGGGGTGGGGGAAGCTGATGAATTCTTACAAAGAAGAGATGTTTTTTCCTTGATTTTAGGATAATGGACATATAAGTTTTATGTAAAAAAATTAAAACGGGGGGGGGGGGGGGGGGGGGGGGGGGGGGCACACCTGGCTTGCCGGCTCTGGATCCGCCTTTGCAGGGGTAGGGTGGAGCCCAATGGGGGATCGAAAGTTTTACATAAGAACATATAGAAAAAATATTTCTTCTCAAGAACAGAAAAACTATGTTTAGTCTTATTGATATGGAAGCATCCTCAGGAAGTGTAGATTCAAGTTTGTTCAAATGATGACCCCTGGGATAGGGAGGAGCCACAATGGGTGATCAAATTTTTACAAAGGAATATATGGGAATTTTTTTAAAAAATCTTTTCGAGTACAACAAAGCCATTTGTTAAATTGACATGGAAGGTTCCGGTTGTTTAAAATTCAAGCCCCCCCCCCCCCACCCCCACCCCAAGGTAATCTTTTCAATACTGAACTGATTTGTACTTTTGCCTAACCAATGTGCTCAGGTGAGCGATGTGGCCCATGGGCCTCTTGTTAACTTTTGCGGCCATTCTTTTTAAAATGACTTAGAGGCATATTTCGAACAATTTAAGGCCTATGATCATCAAACTTTGTCGGTTGATGTATGATGGGTCCTCAAAGTACATCGACTAAAAAGTAGGTCACCTTGACCTACTTTTTGAATTTTATGGTTAATCTTTTTCAAAACAATTAAGGTCATTAATTCGAATACTGAGAGGTTTAGAATCATTTTGTAAGATGATGCATCTTGGGGCCATAAAACATATTTATTAAAAAGTAGGTCACATTGACCTACTTTTTGAACTTTGCAGGCATTCCTTTTCAAAGTGTTTTAGAAGCATAATTTGGACATTTTAAGGCCTATGATCATAAGACTTTGTAAGTTGATGCATCTTGGGTCCTCAAAAAACATCAACTGAAAAGTAGGTCACCGTGACCTACTTTTTAATTTATATGACTATAATTAAATATTTCAGGTACTAATTTGCTTAGAACCATCAAACTTTGTCAGTTGATGCATCTTGGGTCTTCAGAGTAGGTCTACTGAAAAGTAGGTCATCGTGACCTACTTTTGAAAATTTATGGCTTTAATTAAATATTTCAGGTACTAATTGGCTTAGAATCATCAAACTTTGTCAGTTGATGCATCCTGGGTCCGCAGAGTTAGTCAACTGAAAAAGAGGTCACTGTGACCTATTTTTGAAATTTTATGGCTTTATTTAAATATATCGGGTCCTTATTGGCTTAGAGTCATCAAACTTTGTCAGTAAAATAGGTCACTGTGACCTACTTTTGGAATTTTAGTTATAATTCTAAAAATATTTTAGGTATTAATTGGCTAAGAATCATCAAACTTAGTTGATGCATCTTAGGTCCTCAGAGAATGACAAGTGATAAGTAGGTCACCATGACCAACTCTCAGAATCATCTTGGGTTCTCAGAGTGTTTCATCTAAAATGTTTCATCTAAAATGTAGGTCATGATGACCTACCTTTGGAATTTCAAGGCTTTATCTAAATATACAGGATACTTAGAGGCTTCAAATAGAAGTGATAGGTTGTACAGTTTATCAGAAGAGTGATTCAAGGCCGTTGGGCCTTTTGTAAATTTCTGAAACCCTTCACTTATATAAAGTGATGCAGGTTGTCCTTGAATTGTTTTACTTACTACTTATCAATTTTCAACATCATATATTGATTTGAAGTTGGGGAAAAGAAAATAAATATTTTATGATGATAACATAACAGACTTGGAGAATAATGGTAATAAAAATAAAATTATTATTGCCTCCTTTTCAGTTCTGAAGATTTTTACACAGATCTGTTCACGCTGATGGAGAAAATCCTTGGATGTACTAGAGTTTGGAAATGGGAGCTGTTTACTGACATCTTTACACTTTCTTGCATCATGATCAGCTCACCTTCAGAACAGGGGGAGGGTTGTGGCAAAGGTGAACTGCAAAAGCTTTTTTTATCCCTCTCCCCACTTTCGCTAAAATCAGGGGGTATTAATTTGGATCTGTGTATATGTCTGTCACTGTGTGTAACACTTAAATTTCCAGATGATATCTCACAGGTCACAAATTTAATACATGTATGAAATGAAATGGTACAATTTTTTTTCCAGATGATATATCTAAAAGTTCTTTAGCTTTTGCTATGAATTTTTTTTTATCATAACTCCCTATAAACTATTAATATTTGAGGTCAAAATGACAAAGGTTGAAGTCAGAAATTCATATATTGAGTAAAATGGTTTACAGATTATAACTTAGGTCTATTTGAGCTACTGTAATAAGGTAATGAGTCTCTCTAACTTACGAAAGACCCCTATTGGTTTTGAGACCAAAACTTGAAAGGTCAAGGTCACAAAGTCATATGTGGTATGATATGGTCTCTAGATTCACTTGAAGACTGTCTGTAACTAAAACATAAGCCCAATTGAGTTTGAAGTGAAAGGATCAAATGTAATAGACACACATATGTGTATTGTTATAAACTGTGTCAAGATGATACCTCAGATATATCTCAGACAAACTTCTGTCCTTAAAGGGGTTGGGATAAATTACCTGAATTAGATTGTTTTCTATTAGGGGATAATTTTTCATTGTACATGTGCATGTAATTGGTTACATCCCAGATGAATATTAGTAAATCCAAATTAAAAAACAAGATGTGTTTGTGAAACACTGATGCCTCTGTATGGCAACTCATATCAAAGGCTAAACTTTATCAAATACAAATCAAATATGTTGGTACCCAAAGTAAGGTCTTGTCTCGAGGAATATACCTTTGAAATACGAAAACCCTAGCAGCAACCATTGAATAGATATGGAAAAGGTTGAAGTTTTTCAAACGTAAGTCAAACATCAAGTTTAAATGGTCAAAATTAATGGTGCCCAAGGAAAGGCCTTCTAACAAGAAATACACATGTGAAATATGAAAGCCCTGGCACCAACCGTTCAAAAGTTATGACCAAGTTAAAGTCTTTCAAAAGTAGGTCAAACTCCAAGGTGAATGGGTCAAAATTGTTTTTACCCAAAGGAACTTAAGGAAGGTCTTGTCACAACAATTACATATGTGAAGTATGAAAGCCCTAGCACCAACCATTCAAAAGTTATGGCCAAGTTTTGCAAAAGTATGTCAAACTCCAAGGTCAAGTCAAAGTTGTTGGTATTCAAAGGAAGGTCTTGTCACAACAATTAAATATGTGAAGTATGAAAGCCCTAGCACCAACCATTCAAAAGTTATGGCCAAGGTTAAAGTTTTGCAAAAGTAGGTCAAACTCCAAGGTCAAGGTCAAAGGGTCAAAGTTGTTGATATCCAAAGGAAGGTCTTGTAACAACGATTACATGAGTGAAGTATGAAAGCCCTAGCACCAGCTGTTCACAGGGATGTGCAATTAGCATCGCCCGATGCACGGGGCTACCATTTCTTGGGGTCGGGCTAGTAGTTTTCTGAACAGAGGTAGCCCCTTGGGCTAGTAAAAATTAAAACTACCAATGTAAAACATGAAAATCACTATCGGTATTTTCACTCATTTTTTGCTATTAAATTCCCAACCAATGAAAAATTTCCAGGCAGCATGCTCCTATTGTTCGTAAATCTCCATAATCTTATCCATATTGCAATACTACCTGACTTATTTACTTCCAAACACGATCTTTTTTTTTACCCGAATTTCCTCCATTCCTCTGTTTATAATAAATACATGCAGATATCTCATTAAATTATTTACGATCACTCATTCAAATGAAAGAAAAATGTTATGTGGTTTACATAAAATATATTTGTGAGAATTAAACTTTAATTTTAAAAAGAATGACATAAAACCCTGACTTTTTCAACAATAAACTATTTTTTTCAATATTAGTTGTTACTCCCCCTACATTTGGACTAGTAACTTTTTACTTGGGGCGAGTAACTTTATTGCTGCCACTAGCGCGTGGGCTAGTGCTTAATTTTTGTAATTGCACACCCCTGGTTCAAAAGTTATGGCCAAGGTTAAAGTTTTGCAAAAGTAGGTCAAACTCCAAAGGCAAGGTCAAAGGGTCAAAGTTGTTGATATCCAAAGGAAGGTCTTGTGACAATGATTACATATGTGAAGTATGAATGCCCTAGCACCAACTATTCAAAAGTTATGGCCAAGGTTAAAGTTTTGCAAAAGTAGGCCAAACTCCAAGGGCAAGGTCAAAGGGTCAAGTTTTTGGTACAGGGTTCGACACTAACTTTTTAAGGCTTTAGTCCAGCCGGACTAGTGCTTCATTACTTTTACTAGTCCGCACGGGATTTTATTAGTCAGTCAAAAAAAAAGAAAAAAAAAGAAACATCAATGTTTTTAACATAAATTTAACGTGACAATTAATATATGTATTATTTTTTGAAATAAACAAAGTATTTACATGAAATTTAGTATTCCACAGATTCATTGAAATCTCGCAATCAGCAAGTATACGATCGTATTTTCGATCTCGTTTTTTTTTTTTTTTTTTTCTTTTTTATGCTTTTCCACTACATCCAACATCTTTCTTAAAAGTGTCATACTAAATCATGATCGCTAAAACCTTATTCTTCATATCGATCAGTCGAAAAATTAAGCGCTGAATTGACCCAAAATTGCGTAACTACCCGCCAAAAGCTAGAAATCTAAAAATACACACGGGGTTTTCCAGTAAAAGTTGTCGAGAATCGGACATCGGTAATTTATTGATATTGTTTTTCAGAAATTTTTATTGGTCTGTTCGGACTAATTAGCCACATATTTTATTAGTCCGAATGAAAATGTATTAGTCTGAGACTAATGGACTAAGGTTAGTGTCGAACCCTGTGGTATCCAAAGAAAGGTCTTGTCACAAGGTATACACATGTGAAATATGAAAGCCCTGGCATCAAAGGTTTAAAAAATGTGGCCAAGGTTAACGTTTTTCCAAAAGTAGGTCAAACTCCAAGGTCAAGGTCAAATGGTCAAAGTTACTGGTATCTGAAGGAAGGTCTTGTCACAAGGTATACAACTGTGAAGTTTGAAAGCCCTTCACCAACCATTCAAAAGTTATGGCCAAGGTTGAAGTCTGAAAAAATATTGCAAAAGTGGGTCAAACTCCAAGGTCAAGGTCAAAAGGTCAAAATTTAGGGTACCCAAAGAAAGGTCTTGTCACAAAGAATACACATGAAATATGAAAGCCATAGCTCCAACCAATCAAAAGTTATGGGCAAGGTTAAAGTTTTTGCGGACAAACAGATGGACAGACAGCTAGACAGACAGATGGATGGACAGGGCAAAAACTATATGCCCCTGAATCTTCGATTAAAAAACTCTTTAAAATATGTAAAGATGATGTTCTTTTGTTCTCTTTGACGTAAATGGGTCCATAATACTTATTAACAGCCAATTTTTTTTCTGTATGTAACAGGGTTTAAAAATGATACCTGTTAATATCTGAATGTATCGTTTGTTACCCGGTTTGTATCTTTTCTGTATCATTCATTTTTTGCAGCCACAGCAAAATCAGAGGATCTGAAGGCAGCAGTTGTACAGAATATTAAGACACTGGTGTCTAAATCCGACTACAGCATCATCCAAAAATTGTTCTCAATCCAGAGTCTCCCAGTCCTTGGTTTAGCAGTGTCTATTTTGTTAGACCTAGCAGACACTGAAAAGTGCAGATCTCTCAAAGTATCTGCCATTAAATGTCTAACAGAGCTTAGTCAAGTGGATGGCAAATGTGAGTACATACATTGTAGCATTAAGAAATAAGTGAACAGTTTTTTGGGTTTATGAGGATACATTTATATTGGATCATGTGGTAATTTGCATATATTACTAATTATTGGCTATGTCATAGGTAAACACTTCAGAGTATGACATTACAGTAGCCCAGTGTAGTAATGTGTGGATTTACTTTTACTAATTTAGTTGGATTCATTATGCAGGTCATGTTTTATTCATGAGAGCTTTATTTTCATATAATTTTTCAAGATTGTTTAGATGCAAAAAAAGTTTTCATGAATAAGACCTACTGATGGTATAGAGAATACAGGAAATTTAAGGAGAAAAGATTAGAAAATGAAGAAATGATCTATTAAAGAGGTTATTCATTGTTATTAATTTAAAGTTTGACGTAATTCACATTTTCAGACTGCAATAAAGTGCGGGTGATGTTAGGAGACACGTTTGCCTCATTCTTGCCTGGAATCACCATTACACTGTGTAAGATTATCACCGGTGATCAGAAACAGGGACACAGTGTTATAGCAGTAAGTCACCTATGGAATGATGTACGGCCTTAGTCAGTTACAAGTTTTTAAGTTTATTAGAATATGGTTACACTGAACACACTTGTAGTGAATTATTGTTTACAATTGAGTGATTTTTACTCCCTGTAACCTGATTAACTTATTTGAACTTATCAGATATAGTGAATTGCATTTATAATGAATCAAACTTGTAGTTCCCTGGCATTTGGCTATAAGCATGTTCTACTGTATACCATCAGGTTCAATACTAAAAGGTCTTCTTTTTTTCTTTTTTTTTTTAAAGTTATTCTGCAATGTTAATAACATTTTCTTTTTATCATTAAATGTATTGTTTTTTCACTTCTCAGACTGCAATATATGCCTGGACTAAAATAGTAGGCCTCACAATGGATGACATCTTGATAGAAGAGAGTCAGAAGAAAGTCCAGCCTTCAATAACAGGTGAGCAAGACAAGTCTCTTAATAAAGAACAATTATAAATAATATAAACTGTATTCAGCACATGTCATTACAAAACTATTGAAATGCTCAAATTTTCTAAGAACAGTTTTGATTTTCTGATAATGACATTTGGTGAAAAGTGAATATCTGCAATGCAGATAAGTAAACTCCAGTTGATATGGTTTTATGAAAAAAAATTAAAAAAAAAATTTGACTTTAAGCGATTTGCAATCATTTATTCAATTATTACAGGTTTCAATTGATTTCTTTTTGGTTTTACATGTTATTAGCAGTACTACTTCTTTAAAAACGAGCTATAATTTCTCTATCATTAATGCTTCTGTTAGTGACAGAGCCAGTTGATGAGAAAATCAAGAAGCTTGCCATCAAAAGAGATTCCACTTGGGTAGAAATTACTGGGAATAAGATAAACTTACTAGTGAAGCAGATCTGTAAGGTCAGGGGTCATTCTAACTGGAAGGTCAGAATGGCATTAGCAGAGTCAGCGGGAAGCTTACTACAGGGGTGCACAAGGCAAGGGCTTTAATCTTCATTATAAATCATTCTATAAGTTTCTATGACAGTTTTGATGGATCTTGTGAAAAAAGGTTATGTCAACAGAGTTTTTATTGCAGCAGTATCGTTTGTTTTCTGCAAACCACTGCAAACTGCATCGAACACATTTTACATCTTGAAATCACATTCCCAACAAAATTTGGATGTGATAAAGATAATGTTGTATTAGGGTAACAGACTATATAACATTGAGATATGATGTTTAATCATGGAAATACATCTCTTGTAGATCTCTTCACTCCTCCATCCCTGATTTTTTGGAGATCCTAGTGGGGCTTATTAGTGATGAATATCCCAATGTTGCCAACAAAAGCAGGAAAATCCTGAACATATTCACCCACACCCACCTCGGGACCGAGTGTCGCCCTCTGGTGGAAATGTTGGAGGAAAACTTACACAATCTCTCCATGTCTTTGCCCAGAATTATCCGCTCAGTTGGTAATAGAGTTTGAAACATACATTTTATTATTCTGTTCATACACTACATAATAAATATCTCTGAAATATTTAAAATTTAAAAAAAACATTAAAAGTTCAGAGTCTCATCAGACACTTCTGCATTATTGTGGCAATTTATTTCAGTGGTATTTATAATGCAAGATTGATTATATTTTAACTTCTTTAAAACGCTGATTCATGGGAACCGTAAAAAATTCAATGCAGTGTTCTTTATCTCATTAGAACTCCATTGTTTTACATGTAGCTTCTTTGACAGTTGGTATAACTCCATGATATAAATCATGAATAAGCTACAACACTGTTCTTTTTGTTGTTGTTACTTGTTAAATGTTCTATAGATTTAAATTGCAATAAAAATGTTTTGACATAGGGAAACTTTTTTTTTTTAAATCAAGTGATTTGAATAATTGAAGATGCATTTTACACCATTTTTTAAACATTAACATGTATTTGATTTGCAGATGAAGACAGGAAATATTCAGCTCTCTCTCTGATGTCAGGCTACATTGATTTGTTAGGTAATTACAATTTGCAAATTTTCTTGAATCCCTATCATAAAACAAGTATGTAATTTTTGTAGCATAACATTGCAATGTTTGTTTATTTGTTTCCCACAGGATGTGATATAAACCACCTTCTGATGTCGTCCTCGCATCTGAAGCGTTTATCTGTATCACTCATTCAGGTGTTTGAACTAGACACAACAGACATCAAAATAATTGAAGAAAGAACTAGCTGGATTGGACATAGTAAACTACTCTTACTGTATCTGATATATTTTAATTAAACTGCTGCTTATACCTGATGTAAACTGCTGTAAATGTAACTTTGTAGTAGTTTGCTATTAATGTGTTTCTAAAGTAATAATAAACTGCTGTTAACCTATTTCTATAGTAAACTATTAAAATTCTCCTTAGTGAACTGTTGTCAATGCATACTGCTGTCAAAATATCTCCATAGTGAACTGCTGCTAAAATATATGTATAGTGAACTGTTGTTAATGTAACTCTGTTGAATTTATTTTGTTAATGCTATTTTCCTATTGCCAGATGCTGATTTTATTTCTCCTGTCCATGTACCTGACGTAATCAAACCCAGGAAGAATTTCAAACATTTCCATGATAAGAAAATCGAGAAAGAACTTAAAAATATTTGCAGATTGCTGGGATATTATGGTAAAAATTTTATTTGTTAGAATTTTGTTCCATTTCATTAAAATGAATGCATTAAAATACAGATACTAGATATCATATGTATGACAAGTGTGCTGAAAGCTGATGTAAATTTGATCCACCCTACAAGAACAAATAAAGAACAGCATATTTTAATATCAGACTATGAAGAAAGACTTTATCAATCAAAGCCCACTTATTTAAAGCTTATTTGAACCATAACATTCTTTTGTAGTGTAGATATTCTGACCCCTGGGTGTAGGAAAGAGAATTGTGAAATATTTTCCTAACATACATGTATATCAGAAAGATACAGATGAACATGGGCCACATTCTTTAACTACATTTATTGGTAATTGGGCATTGTTTAACATTGTAATGTTGAAGTTGTTTTCTGTTTTAGGCAGTATTTCTTTATTAGTGGACCACTTTCTGGACTTGTTTCATGACTCAATTTTACACAAAATGCAGGCCACCATGATAATCAATGAGTTACTGATGGGGGCAGCAGCTATGGGAGGTATTAAGAATTATCTTCATTTTTGTTGCAATTTTGATTTGTTATTCATATGTATACAAAAGTGTAAATATGGCTTTTTTTGTGAGGTAATTATATTTTGCTTGCAATCTGTTTCTCATGAAAAGTGCTTTATGTTTGTACTCTACTGTTTAAGTAAATTCCTATCAAGAGAGAGATTTTGAAGAGAGAAGAGAGAGTAATATTGAGGAACTGGAGAGCATTGTGGAGTAAGTTATTTCATGCTTTATGAATTGTGATTGCATCAGTTTTAATCAAGGTATCTTCTGTTGTTTAAAATTTTGTAAGGAAAACTTCATTTTTAATTTCTTTTCTAAAATGTTTCACATTTTGCTCTTTGATGTGTTTACAGAGTTATCTTTCCCATCACAAAGAAAAACTGATTTTTTTTAAGGACTGAAAACACATTTTTATTTTTACATAGAATGTTAATTGATGAGTATCTCTCTCCGTCTAATTTGTGCCTTGTGACAAGTCCACACCACAATCACTCGGTGAGATCCACTCCTGAAAACAGACTGATGGCTCTTGAACTAATGACCAAGGAGACAGGAAGTAACCTTGCTACCTTCAACAGGAACATTATCCAGATTTGCCTTTATCTGGAGGGAATTGGGTCATTTGCAAAGGTGAATATAAGAGAGGAGTGTAGCCTAAAAAACGCAAATATTTTCAAAATTCCAAATTATGTGCTATTTGGAGGTGATAACTTTGTATTTAATACTGTTTGTTTATTCATTCAAAATTTAGAAAAATCTAAAGTTATTAATAGATGAGCACAATCACAAAATACAGTTCTTAATGTGATTTTGTTTTGTCAGTGAAATTATATATATACTAAATTCACAAAGGACTGAATACGTATCCTGATGAGGGGCATTAACTACATGTATGTACACCACAACTTTGAGTCTTAAAGTAAGAACTTTCCCAGTATAAACTTTTATATTTACAGGTACTTAAGGATAGGTATATCCCCTTCCTGATGAAGACTATTTACCCACTACTGGAGAAGCTGGGGGACGAGACGGCCTACATCAGCAGCACTGCCTACTTAGCCCTGTGTGACATCTGTCATGTCTGCCAATACAAGTAGGTCTTCATCAGAACTATCTTAGAGTCCAGGATTAAAGACATTGAGTTGACATTACATTATAATCTACGGGGATCGTTAGCTGTACATGATATCATTTCATTTTCTTTACAGCATTTGTCATCTTAAGCTAGGAGAGATAACTCTAAAACTGATATATCTTTTTGTTCCTTTGTAAAAGAACAAGTCTCAACAAAGCTTATCTGTTGTCCCTGGTTACTCGTCAAATTTTGGACCTTTATAAAAACCTTAAAAATTAAATTATATTATTAAGTTATGTCTGAATTATTTGAGTCAACAACTGAAAATGTCAAATAATTGCTGTAGACAAAATGCAAAGCTGTGCTTTGAATGTGGGGTTCCTTGATTATCATGAATATCAAAAGTTAGTGATAGGTGCATACTTCAGTGACTTCACAGCTTTTGTAGCTATCAAGCACAGGTTACTTTCAGAGTTGAGATTGAAATTCATCCTGCAGCCACCGCTTGCATTGGCTGAATAAAGGTAACCTAATAAACCAAAGCTACATTTGGTCAGTGCTGAAATATAGCCTTGTACATTGCAATGTCTTTAAAAGCATTGTGATGTCATATATATTGCATTGTTGACACCATGGCATCATAGTTTTAACTGCAGAAATGTGCCTAAATTTGTTGAAAATAGCTCATTTTGGAGGTCAAATGTAAAACTATAAAAAATTATTCATGAAGTGCAGTAATACTTGCTCCGAGGTCTGCACTTTATTGGAAGAAGAAGAATGTACAGTGCTTTAATTATACTATATTATATACCCTAAAAATAAAAATAATATAATATCCTCATGTTTAATCAGTAAAATAAGGGGGCAAAAAGGGACCACTTAAGTGGAAAACTCCTTTTGCTGACTTGCAGTGATTTGTCTCAAATTTTACCCAGTATAATGGTATACTAAATATGCTCAAATTTCATTTTATCACATGTTTACTCCTTTAATTATCACACATTGGATAAATTTTTCATATCCCACACAATGGTTTTTTTTTTGTGAAAATGATGAAGTGAAAGTGGATTCATATATATAAAAAAGTGTAAAACATGCCATAGGTATGTGTGTCCCATGGTTTGTTGTGGGATGTGATTTTTATCCAACGCAGATGTTTTCTCTCCTTGCCAAGCTTGAGGATAGAAAACATTTAACTCACAGGATAAAAATCATATCCAATCATCCTATATTCATCCCCATCTTTTGCATAATTACAGAATATTTACCAGATTAGTAAGCAGAGAGACTTTCTTCTTTACCAGGTTATCATATTGTATTTATAGATCAATTGGAGAACTTGTGCAGCGTAATGCTGATTACCTGGTGAATGCCATCAGCTTGAGGCTGCGACATTTTTATGAGAACAAGAAGAGCCCCCTGGTTTTGAAAGTCATGCTGCAGTACAGTAGCAGTGATATTTTACCTCTTATCGAGGATACAGTGCAAGAGGTTGGTTCTTCATGTTTTCAGTTAGGCCCAGCAAGTATATGCGGATGCCCTATAGAAATCACTCTGTCTGTCTGTGTGTCCGTCTGTCATTCTTCTGTCCACATATTTTCTGTCTTCTTTTTCTAATAAGTTTTTTTTATGGTTGTCTTATTTAGTTCAAAGTTTGTGTGTTCGTTGAATAGGCAGTAAGACTTATTTTGATACCAAGTTTGATTCTCCATATCATCCTCTTTGAAGCTGGGGTGGTGCGGTAGATTCCTAACTTTATGCAAGAATGTGAATGGTCAAAGAGAGATAACTGCTGAAAATGTTCCTATGAAAGTCCCTGTTATTAATTAACTTGCCTGCTGTTTTCTAGAAAATCAATCTTTATTTGTCAAATTGAGATTAATTAACACCTCTATCTGCAAATGTCGTTTGTTTTGACGTAAAGGTCAATCCTGGATGATGTAACTTACTTTATTCTCAGTAAAATAACCTCTTTCTATCATTGTCGAAAATTTTCTTATTGTAAACTTACAATAAAAGGATGAAAGAAATACAGTTAATCCCTTGGAATAATTACCTTGCTTACTGCAGAAAATTCATTTGTCAAATTAAGATTAATTAACTCCTCAGTTTGCAAATTTCAAATTAGCGATAGGGAAAATTTTATGAATGTTTTAATGAAAAATATGAAGACTACATTTTGTCAGTCTGATATTGAAGCATCACCATGTTGTATGTATTCAACTTTGTTCTAATCATGGCCCACAGATTTAGAAAGGGGCCTCAATAGAGGTTCAAATGTTAGCCAACAATCAAAAATTATTTGTTTGATGTACTCCGACCGACCCGTCAAAATTGTCCCTACCCAGTCATTTTTTTCAGTAATTTAAATTTCATTTTTTTCTTCAGAAAATAAATAAATGAAGATTGTCATTTGATCATTTTCAAAGTCAAGGTTTATCATTTTTCTTTGATGCTTTAGATTGCATGTTTTATAGCAATAAATATTTGATCTTAGTTGTCCTGTGTATAATGCAACCATCAATAAATTTTTAAGTGTGTGATCTTTATGATGATTATATATATGTGTAAGAAATGAAAAAAAAAATATATATATATATATACCTACCTATCCACCTTGAAATATGTGAGTCGGAGTACATCAAACAAAAAACTTTTTTAATAATGTCAGTTACAAAGGAGTATAACATATACTGTATATTCACTTGTTTTAATGGGATCAACTTTTCATGGTTTGAGGAAAAAATATTGGTTTGTGGAGATTGATTTCATAGTGGAAGAACACACATGATTATGTTTGAAATAATCATGTCCTCCTTGAAATGTCATATGTTATTTGAAATGTGACATTTTGTGGAGGACATCTTCATACCATGAAAAACAGTGAAAATTAAATCCCATGAAAATTAGTAATTTCACAGTGTGTTAGGAAAGATTTTTGAAAAAAAATCTATAAGAAATAAAGCTACAACATCTCAAATAAATTTTGAAGCATTCTCATGTTCATTCAGGTGTGTGGTAGTTGTATCATCTGGAGTGAAGGTTGTGATGCAAATGGAAAGAAAGTTTTTTCTAGGCATATGTAGATCTTCTTTTGATTAACATGGCTACTATTTGTTACTTGATATCAAGCATCAGTATGTTGAAAGTGTTGACAATATGTGTCCTTAGAGGATATGGTCTGAGAATTTGATTTATTTACCAGTAACTGACATATTCATATGTCAGGAAAAGCAATGTAATTATGTAGAGTACTGTGGTCTCCTGTTACTCTTTTTCAATGAATTTGGCCAGTTTTGTGTTTGAAATAGAATTGACATTTCAGTGAGGAAAAAAAATTAAAAGAAATATCATATGGAATTTCACCAGCAAGAACCATAATTGCCCTACTGATAATTTCAAATTGCTTGCAACTAGTTAGCAGTTCAAGTTTTTATATCATTTCAGATTTTAGAGTCATTAGATGATAATTATGAGCAGGAAGCATTATTGTTTCTGAGTGTTCTAAATGAACTGGTGAAAGCTGTGCTGAGGTGGTTCAAAGATAATCCAGTGAGTTAACTACTGTTTTCAGCTATAGATTTAGATATTATGATTCTGTCTTCTGAAATAAGAAAACAAAACTTAATGATATTATGTTCCATTTTAGGATACAGAGAAGAAGCAACCATCTCCCAGTCCACACAGGATTGATGAAAATCTGGATGTGGTATCCTACATTAAAGAATTCCTACATCTGAAGAAAGTATCAGAAGGTGATATGTCTGAAAATGAAAACTGCCCGGATGATGTGACTGATGAGAAGGTTGAAGGTGATGAGGAAATGCAGACTGATCAGAAAAAAGAACCACCACTACATGTGAAAGCTGTAAAAGAGGTAATGTCTGATGAGAGAGTATTTCTGAGAGGTGTAACATATTTTTGTTGCAGTCTGATGGATGCCAAAATCTGCAGTTAATCATGTATTTTGGTTAAAACACAGTCTTGCATTTTGGTGGGGGACTGTATTATGTACCGGTAATCAAATACCCTTGGTATCTGTCGGTACATGTGATTATGGTAGAAGCATTGAGTAATACTCAAATTTCTCTCCCAAACTACAGGTGTTGCTGAGAAGCAAGCATCTCCTTTCCTCTAGAAATCCCAGTGTAAGGCTCCTTACATTGGACACCATTGCCTCCTCCTGCCAAGCTTTACATTCTCATCAAGGTACTTTCTGATGTAGCAATGGCATAATTTAATGGATTTGAAAGTGTACGTTTTGGGACCATTTTGGAAGTTAAAGTTTTGTTTTAAGTAGTTCACATCCAAACTCCTCTTCATGGCTTGTTCTTTTGGTTTCAGATGAATTACTGCCATCAATCCATGAAATATGGCTACCATTCACTGCCAGATTTGTTGATCAGGAAAAGCTTGTAACTAAAAAGGTTGGAACAAGTAAAAATTTGAATTTTGCTCATTATTGTTTCTAACATTAACATTAACATTCTGCTAAATTATGTTAAGTAGCCAGTAAATTTATAGCAGTGTTTTGTATTCATAGGCTGTTGAGACATTGGTTACCATGGCTGAGTCTTCCGGTGATTTTATCTGTCGTCGTTGCACCAAGGATGTGTTTCCTAAAATGCTGACTTTCTTGGAAAAACAAGCAGAAATCAGGTTAGCTCATGATCTGTATTGATCAGTTCTGAATACATTTGTAATTGCTGGTCTTTGAATATTAAAAGTGTTTTTGTGTATTTTTTCAGCAAGGGATCCAGTAAAGCCTATCTTTACACAGTAAACTTCAAACTACAGCAATCCATACTATCTAGTATTGGGATGCTCTGTAAACAGGTAAAGTAAAGACAGGATCCTTTTTGAGACAAAGCTTTCCAACAGTGATTGTATGTAACTATTGGATTCATATACCAAGGTCCTCTGTTTAAACAGGTTACAAGGCATAAAGGTTTTTTCTTTAACACATTTATCCTATGTTATTTACAGCTTGGTGTCCAAGGAAACATCCTTGACCTTGTATCCTCTGTTTGTGTCCTTTATCTCAGTGCCAGACAACCAAGTGTCCTGCAGAAGGTTTGAAGAGTTTTTTTTTTACTTTTTCTATATGATATCCTATAACTAAAGATTTAACATTTAACAATCATGTTAAGTATTGTAACCATTGAATGATACTCGTACAGCACAATTCTTGTAAATATAGATGGTTAACTTACAGACTGCCTTGGAAACCTGTACAGTTCTGATTTCCCTGGATCCAGATCCAATGTGGCTTAGACTCTGTGATTTGTACCACCCTAAGGAGTTCCTGTCATATGTGCCTTTATTCAAACCAGTAAAGGTATTTAAAAGTAAAATATTTCATATGATTTTTTTTTTTAAATATATCATTATACATGAGGGTGTAATGTATACAGCAAGATGATTTGAACATGGTTATAGTCACTGGAAATAAATATTGTTTGAGTTTTTGTCCATGTCTTAAGTTTATGACTTAACATGGTTAAAATACACACTCAAAGTATGCCTATAGTGTGTTTGATCTGCAGTGTTAAAGTACAAGTAAACATACAGGTAACTCTCGATACCTCGAAGTCCGCGGGACCGAGGAAAAACTTCGAGAGATCAAGAGTTCGAGTTTTCAAGAGTCCGGAATTTTCCGGGTTTGTTGACAGGTTTTAAAATTAGTCTTACCGGATGTAATGATTTTCATGCAGTGCTAACCTTTTACACGTGGTTTATATAAAACAACGATATTTTTTCGTAATTTAGATGAATATTTCATTAAACTGAGTAAAGCAAAATATGTAAATCATTTCATGTATATTTATTTATTCTTTGTAATATGGACATCATACTACGCATTCGTTACATGAAAACGACATTTTACCACGTCGCATACATACATGTAGCATTGACTATAAATCCATATTAACATGATCATTGAACGGAGTTCTGTAAGTATTTGTCCAACAATAGTCATCATATTGACATTGAGGCTGTTAACGCTTTCTCATATTTCGTTTAACTTTGACACTGACTCGAAATAAAAATTAAATTAGTGTTTCGTCTTGTAATCAATTACTACTTTTCACTGACATTCCGTCTCTGAATCATCGTAAGACAGTCGATGATAATTATTTTAATAGCATATAGGCAAAAATGATTAATTATAAATCAATTATCACCTTGCAACATAAGTGTCACCTGAATAAACATCCCGTTCCTCGAGACCCGCGTCTTCTGCCTGGGGCCATTTAAATATCCAGGTAAAGGTGCCAATTATATAACCTTGTATACACATAGCCACTTCGAGCTATCGAGGGTAAAATCTAATAGAATATGCATAGCGGGACTGAATTTTGACTTCGAGGGATCAAGGGTTTCGAGAGATCAAGAGTTCGAGAAATCAAGAGTAAATTTGCTTAGTTATATAGGGGAAAAATTCGGGACCGGAGACTCACTTCGAGCGATCAAGAACTTCGAGAGATCGAAGTTCGAGCCATCAAGAGTTACCTGTACTAAGACAAAGGTTGCTTAAATCCTTGTGATTTGTCAGGACCTAATGGCCTCAGGCAAACAGTTTGGTTCTTGGGTCCGACAAAATGCATGTTGCCCTCGAATCCAGTCAATAAATGTATATTATAACATGAAGCCTAAATTTTAATGTTGTTTTATCTTTCAGTTTAAATCTTCCCCTGGAAAGAGAAATGAATTCACAGACAATGTTGTCAAGTTATTAAAACTTCCTGAAATGGGCAGCTAATAAATATATTTTTACATACTAAATAAGTGTTGTATTGTTTTTTTTTCCTTTAAAACAGAAAATAGCCTTTATATTAAGGCCTATTTTTTGTTGTTCTGAATGTGGGATGATTTGTTCTAATTTTCCTTGGATATTGGGTTGGGTTATGCAAAACATTGCTTCTTTTTAAGGAGGAGATAACCCAGAAATAGAATGTGGGATGAAGATGAACTATTATTTCTTTTTTCACTTTGGATCCAAATGAATAAGATATATATGTATTGGTAATTTTCTGGCCAATGACATTTGCACAAATTTATTTGTAACTGATATGTGAAATTTGAAGGAAATAATGTATTTTTGGGGAAAGGTATTATTACTAGAATGTAATGTATATATAAGGGTAGATGAAAATGTAAGAAGTTACGATTTTTGGATATTTTAATTCATTTGTAACAGTTGTAAAACTAACAAGCTTTTGTCACTATGACCCCTGTTCTTTAGGTCTCCATAGTCAGGTGTCCAGTTGCTATAGGTTCCCGTCCAGTGATGACAAAATTTGAACATTTTCACCTTCTCTAAAATGGTAAAATGTATTTTCAAAGTTTTTCTTATGTTGCATCTATAATTAAGAGGTAAAAAATGTGAATTTCATGGTCGAAGAGAGGGGTGCTGCAAAACCCATCATATTTCATGAAATCTTAAAACTTGCCCAGGATCCTGAAACATTTCAAACTTAATCAAAATCTGTATATAACAAGTAAAATTGATGCAAAAGCATCAAATTGGCTGCAAACAAATTTAGATTTTAAAAAGTACTTTTGCAAGTAAATATTCAAGGAAAGTGCAAGATTTTCAAAGCTGAAAAAAGTGAACATTTTTATTTCAGTCTTCAAAAAAAAAAAAAAAAAAAAAAAGAATTGCAAGATGAATAAAAATTTCAGTGCATTTGCTCATCAAATTGATTCGTCGATATGAAAATCAGTGATAAAATGTATTGTCATCAAAATGAAGATGTAGGCCTGTTTATATTCAGATCTCCAGTGACCCATGTGCTAATACCTGGATCTTTGTCACGTGATGATGCCGATGGGTTCTGCAGACTATGCTGCAAGACACGGTGATAGACAACACAATAAATGACAAGTGTAGAAAAAAAGTTATCCTTGTGTAATTCGCTGCTGTAGCATATTCAAAACAATTTTTACTAGTTTTAACATCTTTTCAATTTTATTCATCACTTTTACCACTGTGATTATTATTCGGAAAATCATAACGATTGCCTTCATACCTTACACACTCCCATGTTGGGGAGTATCTTTTGTAAACGGTTTTTATATGATCATAAATTAATAATTATCTGATGAGAAGTAAAAACTAAATTGAAGCATAATAATAACAATAAACACTTAGTTGAAAGAAAGTTTTTAAAATATTTTACTAATAATTTTTATCCATGTTATCATTAACGAATTATTTTACCGAACTACTAGAGAAATAATGTCTCATTTCCCCATGAGCACTTTCTAACACAACCACAAATAGATTTGCTGCTGCTGTGGCCATAACAAGCAAATTCAAAGAATTGTGGTGCCCCGCTTTCAGTGTCTTAGTGATTTGGATGCAAGGATTTTATGGCAAATTTTACATGTCTTGTTTGTGTTTCCTTAAACATATAGGTCAAGGTTATGAAGTCAAAATTGTTATACCTTTCTGAGGGGTGAAGTCATATGTAATGTACTTGTAAAATATGAAAGCCCTATCTTTTCTCATTCAAAAGTTCTTACCAATTAAAAGAAAATGAAAAAGACTGTAGGTTAAACTTCAAGGTCATGAGGTCAAAAACCAGAGTACATTTGGAAAGGTTTTGAAACAGGTAATGCACATGACATATAAATGCACTATCTTCTCTCATTCAAAAGTTACCAGCAATGTTAATTTTTTTAGAAAATCAGGTCAAACTTCAAGGTCAATGTCATGGGCTTACAAATCATAATACATTTGAAAAGGTCTTGTTACAGGTAATGCACATGTCAAATATGGATGCCCTACCTTTTCTTCAAAAGCTGGCACCAATGATATTTTTTTAAATTAGGTCAAATTTGAAGGTCAAGGTCATGGGGTCAGATATCATAGCACATTCGGAAACTTCTTGACACAGGCAATGCACTTGTCAAGAAGGAAAGCCCTATCTTGTCTCATTCAAAAGTTATTACCAATGTGATTTTTGTTGAAAATTAGGTCAAACATCAAGGTCAAGGTCATGGGGTCAAAAGTCAAAGCATGTTCGGAAACATCTTGTCAAAGATAATGCACAGTTCAAATATGAATGCTCTATTTTCTCTCATTCAAAACTTATATCTAATGTAAAAAATTTTGAAAAGTAGGTCAAACATCAAGGTCCAGGCATGGGGTCAAAAATCATGGTACATTTGAAAAGGTCTTGTCACAGATAAAGTACATTTGAAATATGAAATCTCTATCTCTTCTCAATCAAAAGATATGACCAAGGTAAAAGTTTTTGTGACAGACAGACTGACAGATGAATGCATTTTGATATCCCCTTGCTTTTGCAAAAGCAGGGGACAATAATCTGTTTCTCCACAAAAACTGTAACTTTGAGTGATTGGTTCTCATGGTTCTAGGGCTTTCATATTTCACATGCATATTTCTTGTGACCTTTCTTTTGGTACCTACATATTTGACCTATAAACCTTGAAGTTTGATCTACTTTTGCAAAAATTTACCAAACTTTAACCTTTGCCATTACTTTTGAACTGTTGGTGCTAGGGCTTTTACATTTCACAATATATTCCATGTGACCAGACATTTCCTTGGGTACAAACATTTTTGAGCTCTTGACCTTTGAGTTAACCCAATTTTGAAAAAAAAAACTTTAAACTTACCTATAACTTTTGAATGGTTGGTGCAAGGGCTTTCATATGTCACATGTGTATTTCTTTTGACAAGACCTTTCTTTGGTTACCAACATTTTTTTACCTCATGACCTTGACCTTTGAGTTTGACTTGCATAACCTTGCCTATAACTTTTGAACAGTTGGTGCTAGGGCTTTCACATTTCAGATCTGTATTCCTTGTGTGACAAGACCTTTGGTCTTCCTTTGGTGCCAATATTTTTGACTTCATGACCTTGACCTTGGAATATGACCAATTTTTGAAAAATCTTTAACCTTGGCCATATTTTCTGAATGGTTGGTGCTAGGGTTTTAATATTTTACAGGTGTATTTCTTGTGACAAGACCTTTGTTTGGGTACCAATATTTTTGAACCCTTGACCTACATTTGAATAACTTTAACCCTGACCTTGGGCTGCCATATGGGGCATCAGTGTTTCACAAATATAACTTGTTTAAAAGGAGTAATATTCTTCCTTAAATATTTGCAAAAATTTTTTGCTGATAAATGAATATCACTAAAATATTAAACCACATGAATAAACTATATGTATTTCATTACTGTTTGCAAACAGTGTAACATGATATTTTCAAAATCAAGTTGGCTTCACCATTCAGAAAGTAAAACACTGCATCTAGTCTTGACCTGTACAAAAGAAGGATAATAATAAATTCTTTAAAAAAGTGCATTGAATAGTGTCCCTTGTGTAGATGGAAGTTGTGTACAATGTGAATTTTATTAATTAAAGATCTGCAAGTATGAACAGAAATAATATTGAATGATTTGACCTAAAAATATGCATATAATAAAATCTGATTAATGGTTACAATTTGAACCCTCCTAATGAGAGAGGTACATGCCCCCCTTCAGTCCTTCTGGCACCCCCACTCCCACCCACCCACACCCATAAACTTCTGGATTTGCCACTGTGTTATTTGATATCCAAAATTGAAAAAAATCTGTTTTCTATTTCATTTAATTTTACACTTTGAAAGATTATTTGTTAGTTTTAACTGTGACAAAATTAAAAGGTTATGAAAAAATCCAACACTTTCATCACAATACTGTTTTAATTTGACACATTCTCTTTTTTATAACATTTAATTTTTTTCATCAAAAACAATTCTTTTCGTGCAAATAAAAGCTGATTTATCACACCCCTTGTATCTAAGCAGATACAGCGCAGTGTCAGATCGTGTTACGAATATTGATCCGCCTCTCGAGATTTATCACAGTTTTTGCTCCCCACAAAGCGTCACGTGCCACTTCGCGCATGCTGACAGGGTTGAATGGAAAATCAATATCCTTCTGCACTGATAAGCAGGGTCCAATTTGTTATCAGTTATCTATTTGCGTGGTTGATCCGCAGATGACCTACTTTGTTTCCCAGACACAAACCAACCAAGCGGACAAACACAAAGTAGATCATAGCCGGAGGGGAAAACGCGCCATTGCAAAAAGGTAAGTTTGTATTGAGACGTTCGCATTGATGCAGAACGCACCCTACTTTCATTTTGAAGCTGTCCGTCATGGTCTCCTGGCGGATACGGAGTCTTTTCCCGTGATTGATACGCTTCGTGTGAGACAATGTGAGTACTGTTTATATAACCATCTGAAGCAGCGACCGTCAAAACAATCAGAAATGTACCTAATCATCAGTGTTATGAGCCTAAACTGGGTAGTGAGGCCATATAAGCCTTCTCAATATTGATGATCTTTATCAGAATTTGACAGCACTTTTCAATTATTCTTTTAAAAAAATGGAAATATATATTAGTTCCAAATTAAATCCTTCCTCAACCGTTAACCGTCATCATGCACAATAGCTGTAATCTAAGTGTATTTACTTTAGAAAAGCATTATCTTCAGAAAAAATTAATGGTTGATTTAATATTGGAACGTATTAAATTGGTATGATTTGCTTCATTTAAAACTTGTAATATTGTTCTTTAATGATTGTAACCTATGAGTATGTGTAATATTTGCTGTGATAAGGGTTTCACACCCTAAGGAGAGAAAGAAATTGCTCCATTATAATACCTACAGAGAGTTTTAAGACTGCCAGGGAGTATAAGAAACAAAGTATGAAACTGACTTTAGTGGTTCTTGGATAAATTACT